AGTGTTAAATTGGATCAATGGAAGGCAAGAAGGAACCTTGAACGGAGCCCATCTCCTGCTCGACTTTCGCCTGCATTTCTCGGAGAGCGGCGGCCTCGTCCTCCATCTCCTTCAGCCTCTTCTTCATATTGTCCAGCTCCTGCGTATACATACACGCTACGTAAGTAATAAGCAACAGCTAGGGTTTGTTGTGATGAGGGAAAACAAAATTGAACGGAAATCAGATCAAATTGAACAAATTGAAAATGGAGAGAAAGTTTGTATCACAACGGCAGCTCCTCCCTCGGCTCCCGCCTCCGCTGCCGCCATCTCCACGTCGCCCTCCATCAAATTCTCTCTTTCTCAGGCGGTCCTTTACTCGAGAAAAAGAATTAGGAACCGGGAAAATAGTAGTTACACACGTCCAGTGACACTTCTACCCCTGCACCTTTTTACTAATTACCACTGTTCTAAAAATTGGCCGACGCGGCGGCATAGGCGCTAGGCGGTGCCCGGGCGCCTCGATTTGCACAAACCGGCAAAAAAAATCGGCTAGAAGGTTAGACGGCGCCTAGGCGGCCCTAGGTGGACTTGGCGGCCAAACGGTTAGGCGGCGCCTAGGCGGACATAGGCGCTCCAAGGCGGGCTCGGCGACAATTTTTTAGTTTTTTTTTTTAAATACTAATTACATTATTTTGTTCTTATGTGTTCTTTAAAATATATTAATTTTATTATTTGGACTTAGGTGTGTCGATTTATTATAAATTGGGATAATTTTATTTTGTAGGTAGTTAAAATAAATAAAAAAAATAAGGTATTAATATTGATTTCTAGGCCCTAATTAGGCGCCGCTTACGCCCCGCCTAGGCGCTCTAGGTACTAGGCGTTGCTCGAGCGCCTAGTAACTTTTAAAACATTGCTAATTACAAAAACTACCCAATCTAAAATGTATTTTGATTTTTCCTCCATTTTCGATGGTAAACATGTAGTATTTTTTAAAAAATAATTAATCCACTAACATTTCCAACTCATTTTTTTAGATACTTATTTTAGAAATCGTCATAATTATTTTAATTAAGGTAATCATATTTTTTTATTATTATATTATATAATAATTAATACTAACATCAACCAATAATAACTCAGATTAAATGTTATATATAAATTAAATAAGCATTAAAAATTCTATTTCAGATTTTTTCTTCAAACTCTTTATTCTAAAACAAATATACTACTTTCATGTTATGTTATTTTACACATATATCGTGATGACTTGCATAACTGGTGTAGAATAATAGTTATTATTATTATTATTATTATCTCTTATTTATCTTATTGAGTTGGTTAGAATAATCTTCTATCTTGATTAGGAGAATATTATTTCTTGTTTATCAAGTTAGGAACTCTATTTATTATCAGCGTTGGATGGAATAATCGATCAGTTGAATATGAAATAAGAAATCTATTCTTTTGTGTTTTATCGAGAGAGTATCTCGTTTTATCCTTCCCATTCGTACGCTTCCCTATATCAGTTGGTATCCAGAGCCCAACGACGATCCACGATGCCGCCTAAGAGAGACAACACCGTCGATGATCGTTTCCAACGTATGGAAGAGCGATTCCAATGAGTGGACGACCGATTCACGGACCTCTCGTCGGGGATTGAGGAGATTCGCCTGGCCATGAACACCATGATGGAAGAGACTCATGCGAGACGCGAAGGGGCTGACCGGGGCCATCGCGGAGGGATACTCGGAGGTCGTGGGGGTCGAGGTTACGGCGGGGCGCCCCGCCGACGATCACCACCGCCACCGTTGACCCGTGTTGTTTATGATGAAATATCGAGGGACCAAAATCAGGACCAGGACTTACGGTGGAGTGTTGTTTTCGACAGACCTCCACGCAGGGCCGATGTGCGGCGAGTCAACAGTAATGAGGTTGGGCATAGGAGTGCTGATGCAGAAGAAATATAAATATTATTATTATTATTATTATTATTATTATTATTATTATTATTATTATTATTATTATTATTATTATTATTATTAT